AGATCCCTGGTCTAAGTGGTCATTAGAGGATGAAAGTAATGAGATTTTTTTAATACATACTAGAAATATTTGTATTACACTCAATTCCTTATTTTATGATTTATTCATTTGTGAAATAATGGTATGGCTTCTAAAATGTTAAATACATTAAAAAAAAAACCTTTGTTGAAGTGACTAAGCTCCATTCAGTGTTCTATCTGTAGAGCTACAAAGCATGTTATTTACAATGATACAGTTGCCCATTCAGCACTCATTTTTGGTAAGTGTTTTAGGAAATGGTATTCAATTCACAAAGATGTAAGCATGGTTTGTGTCAGCTGAAACGACTGCTGTTAACAAAACGGTATGTTTTAACTGAGTGTTAACTATCTTAAACAAACAATAATGTTGTTTATACTACTTTGAGGAATTAGCGTGTGTTAGCTACACGTTAGCACGCAGGGCTAGCTAGCTTAATTGGTAGTCAGCTAGTTACTTTGTAGCAAGCTAGTTAGCCATGCGGTGCTAACGTTTTTAGCTTGCGTAAGAGCCAATAAAAGTAAATGTATTCCTTGAACTTTTGTTCTTGTATTTTTGCTCAAGAAAAAACACACACCATGCTTCAGTTCAGAGTGTTTGTATGCCAAGTTCTGCTAAAACAGGCCATGCTTGAATACCTTATTCAGTTGGAAAAATACAAAATTGGAGCAATTTGCTAACCTATAATTAGACTAAGCTAGGTGGAAGGGTTTATCAATTTGTTCATTTGCTCTCAACTCATGTTGTAAATTGTTTAATTTTAAGGGGTCACTATAGTCTAAAATGAATTAACCAATCTGTTAATCTCTCCCCAGGTTGAATTGGTGAATATCGGAGCGGCAGATATCGTTGATGGGAATCACAAACTGATTCTCGGGCTCATCTGGAGCATCATTGTCCACTGGCAGGTGAGTGTTTACATGCATGTCATGTGTATTTATTTGCTAAGTGTGTGTGAGAATATGTTAGCATGCTGCTCCCTGGAGGGATTTAGAGACAATAAGAGTTTGCACATTTTGGTAAAGTGTCAATATTTCTTCAGAGGCAGACAATTTTGCTTCGTTACCTTGACTTTAATGAGTATTTAGTCCAACTGCAATGAGTCAAACAAAACAGAAAATATAGCTTTGCAATTTCCCTGAACTCCAAATTGTGTTCATATACATTTGACTTTGTAATTACAAAAATGAAAAAATCAATGGAACCTATTTAGTGGTCCACACAAAGTTTTAAAGTGTACACAAACAAGCTTCAATAAGTATTATTTCTTCAGAGCTTTTATTAGAAAGTATCACTAACAACAGTTGAAAATGCCTTTTTCTTTATGATGCAAAACATACATTTGTTCTTATTGATTTACTATAGGTATCTGTTTATTTAAATAATAAGCTTAGATGGTTATATACCTAAGGTAATACATTAGGTTTCAAATACTGTTTATTTTTAATATTTTATATAATTTATTGCCAGAATGCTTTTAGTATTTGGCAGAAGAAACAATTAGTTTGCATTCTTATGTTCACCTTCTACCATATGATTAAAATGCACTTTTCTTTGCAATGATATTTGTTTGTATTTCTGAACAAAACACGGAGGGTATTCCGAGGTCAGGTATTCAACATCATAACTTTGTAGAAAAGTACATCCATCAGCCACATTTATGTGTGACCAAAAACAGTACCGGGCGCTCAGAAGTTTCCTTTAATCTTTTCTTTTTATATAATAGAGCTTTCATCTTTCTGCCAATGCATTAAACAACAACATAGCTCTTGGCTCATTCTCCCCTTAAGCTGTATTTAAAGTTCATAATCTTTTTTGGACTCTGTTTAAAACCATCTCCATGTAAAGGCTGTAGTTTCACTGCTCATATTACAATACATTTTAATTGTATTTCATTCCTCATTAAGTTGAAGAGAGGCTAATGTCTCAATCACGCTAGTTTTGGCATAGACTTAATGACGCGATTAATAGCAAAACACAATTCTATAATGAGCTGTGAGTGAGAATGTTTGTGTATAGCATGTGTGTGTCTGTGTATGTAATGTGTTTGTGTGAATTTGCCTGTCAAAGGCTGCTATGCCCTGGAGGTTATCATCGTCTTGTGTGTGGGCAAGTATGCCAGTCTGAGTGTGGATCTCTGTCAGTATGTAGGTGTGTGTGTGTGTGTGTGTGTGTGTGTGTGTGTGTGTGTCTTTGCCAAAGCGCTCATCCAATTAAGTGCAAATGCATGCAGTGACCTACTCCCAAATGAGTCCCTTTTTTTTTTTACCCGGCACTCCACATTCTTTGAGGAATTGCTAACAAACCTGTGTGTGTGTCCTCTTTCTGGGAATTCACCTCAACACCGAATTACATCAACGTCTATTGTGTGTGTGTGTGTGTGTGTGTGTGTGTGTGTGTGTGTGTGTGTGTGTGTGTGTGTGTGTGTGTGTGTGTGTGTGTGTGTGTGTTTCTCTTCCTAACTCTATTACTTGACATATCTCAGTTCAACTGTGTGTGTGTGTGTGNCATGCCCTGTTGTCGTGAGAGAAAAAGTGCAGAAGGAAACATCCATTAAACTCAGTTTGCTGCTCTGTGATGCTAGTTCAAGCAGATACTTGGCATCTCATCTTGGGTGCAAGTTCATCAATGTTTGGGGTCAGGCTCTGAGCTGAGGAGACCCTCAGGATTGACTGAAGGTGTGCGTGCAATATACCGGCGGGCCAGATCTAATGATCCTGCGGGCCGAAATTAAATCCACCACAGGCCTGATTTGGCCTTGAGTTTGACATGTGTTAGAGCAGTGGTTCTCAACTGGTGGGTCGCAGATGTGTGAGTGAAGAAAAAAGACATTTGAAAAAATACTTTTTTTTTTTTTTTCTCAATGAAACATCTTTGCTGATGCTTTTTCGAGTCTTCTGGCCAATCAGAATCAAGATTGTTGCCAGAAGTCCCCACGGAGAATAACTTTGCTCTAAAGCTATTCTTTATACATCCATGGGTACAACTTCAGAAAAAAAATGAACAAGTAATGCAGTGACCATCAACTGGTGGCCCGCGGGCCACATCCGGCCCGCCAGACATTCTGATCCGGCCCGCACGGCGGGGGTGAATGTGGCGTTGGCGGAGTGGTTAGTGCGTTCGCCCCCACTCAATCTTTTTTTTATAACGTCTCGTTGACACCCGGTCAACAACATCAAAATTATGGTCTATATATAAAAATCGCTGGCCCGTGAAAGTGTCTTGGCCAAATGTAGTTGGTGATCCCTGACATAATGAAATATGACCCCCGGTTTGATGAGTGACAGGTCACAGAGCAATGGGAGCTATTTCCATTAGTTATTCACGATAACTGCGATAAGACTTAAGCTTTGGTCAGCAAAAAACATCCTTGTTTGTAATGTTCTTAAAGTAACAAGGAACATATGACTTACAGTGTGTTTTAGAGCAACTGAACCCCCAACAACACCGTGATTGCAACCTTAAAATCGCAAGCTTGAATCATTATTGTCTATGTTGTTCTTAATGGGACAATAACTTACACAATTATTATCATGCTATAATGAAGAAGATCATAAACTCATTAGGAAACTGTTACCTGATGTAATACATCAAGTGAGAAGTGGGGTCACACCACTGGAATTTCCCCCCTGCCTGCCATTAGAAAGCCTGCAGGTTTAAAGCACTTCTTCATTGGCTTCCCTTGCCTCTTGAAATGAACCAACTTAATTTTTTTCTCAGCGCCACGCAGGGGAGGCTTGCACTAACATTGATCGCAGCGCTCTCTGTGTGACTGATTAGGGCTCCACATGAAGTCAAATGAATTGCAGCTTCTCAAATAACACACAGAGACAGATAAAACACCGGGATGACAGTGTTACATTAGGACAGTCTTCTGCCATTAACATTTTCCCAGCGTGAGCGCCTCGAGGAGGGGTCGCAGGTTGCCATCGCGGTGGCGGCGGTCCTGGCTGGCATGTGGAGGCCGGAGAGATCGCCCAGTCACTGTGGATCAGTCTCCATGAGCTGATCAAAGGCGTTTGACTCCTGCCACGCGGGGTGCTGATTGCTTCCATGCACTCACTGACACCACTCAGCTAGGATGAAGACACCCTAATTCAAATGGAGAGCATTGTGAGAGAGAAATAAAGCTGCAGTGTTTTGTTTTTTTCCTCTCGGCAACCTTCTGTCTTTCTTTGTTCTGTCTTTTTGTTTGTGTCTCCCTCTAGAGATGACCTTATATCGACTGTGTGACATTGCTGGTTTCAAGGAGGCTCTTTGTTGTAAGAGATCTTGGTCTGGCCCATTTGAAGAGTCTGGACCTCCATCTCAACACTTTACGAAGTCGCTGGAGGCAGACGATGCAAAATAACTTTATTTTGGCAAAGACAGAAAATAAAATCCAGGCAGACACCTGGGTCCTACTGTTGAACACACGTTATATTAGCATTGTTATAGCTAAAGCCTGCTTTTCTTATTGGTAGACCTAGGTGAAGGACGATAACCACCTCCCGTTCTTTGTTGTAACCCTTTTTCGCACAGGTTTCCTCACGTGTCCATGGTTGGTCCCCTGCACTACATTTACCGACACTTGACCTTGTTAGTTTTCTAGCACGTGAGAAGGGAGTTTTACCTTTGTCCATTTTTGTAACTTCGTACCCCATTAACTTCAGAGAATAAGAAGAATAACCTACTAAAAGAGGCTTTTTGTTTCACCTTGATGTTCTTTATTCCACATTTTGTTAGGCTTTGTTCTTTTTTAATTTATTTCACACACAATATGCTCTTAACATACAATACCATAATGATCCCATTCATATTACTTTACTACTACATTGTGTAGTATTGTATTTCATGCAACATATCCTATCTTAAGGGAAGATGGATTAATTTGTAAATGTTCCCTTTAACCTGCGCTCACTGGCAAAGCCATATTCACAATGTCAATGGCAGCCTGGCACTAGACTTTATGTGAAGGTGGAAGTGGATCCACATCAGTGAGCATGGCTAATGGTCTGAGTGAGAGCAGCAAGAAACTGTCTGGAGGCAACACTCATATTCCTCAGAGAGTAGGAGTTTATCACATTTCTATTTAAAATTCCAAAAAGCAGTTATAAAGGGGGTGTGGGGATCCCCAGTCGTTGCCCTCGACCGGGCTGTTTCAGGTAACCAGACTCTTTGTTGGTCGCTAAGCAAGAGGGATCAATATCATATCAGGGCCCAGCGGAACACCTGACAGTTCAATTTCACAGCAAGCCTCAAAATCAATACCTTTGAAATAGTTTTGGACTCTCCTAAAGGCAACCCACTGGAGTTAACCTATGGTGTCATTAGCCCGGGTCACAGCGTGCATGGTCATTACACTGTGTAACAATAAATGTTCATAAAAGACGACACGCTCCGTCCTCTTGTGCTTGACTGCAGCCTCTAATTGAAGTAAATTCATTCACGAGGGAGCGGCGCCTGATCGACCGGTTTCTCGCTCCTCTTTGTAATCGACGTCCAGGGGAATACGGGGAAGAGCTGGCCTGTCAGGACTCTCTACTGGGCACAAAGCGCAGGAAATTGAACAAGGTTTTATCAAGCAGAAAATGTGTTAAAGGGTTTGGTTTGTGTTGTTTACCCTTGAAACATAGAAGTACTTAGGTTGTTTATACAAGTGCTTCAGATAATCACCACCGAAAAAGTGTTTTTCAGACTTGTTGAAGGAAGAACAATGGACATCAATCTTGATCGCTACTCATCATTTCATAGCCAACAGTGTGGTGGCCGAAAGGTGCAAACACATTACAATGGCCCACTTCCATTAAAGAGGCGCTATTGTGCTTTTTGGGGTTTTCTGCAAAGGATAAAATCCCTGTGTTCCGTCCAGAGGGAGTTTCTCTCCCACACACTCCTCTCCCCCCTCCCCCCCCCGCCGCCTGAAACGCATTCATTGGACTCCTTTTTTTACTTCACTCTGTAACACTCACTCCTCTATTGGCAAGCGCTCCAACACATTGTACGTGATAGGCTAAGCGGTTGACCAATCATAACAGAGCCGGCCAGCTAACCAATCAGAGCAGACTGGGCTCTGGTTTCAAACAGAGGGTGAAAAGAGGTGCTGCAGCACAGGCAGTATGAGAAAATTAAGTCTTTTTGAACATTAAAGCATGGAGACAATGTCACAGTAGAGACACTAAATACTAATATGACCTGAATACAAGCAAAATATGACCTTATTTTAGAATTCTAACTAAAAACACATTTGAAAAATCAGCCGAGAGAGCCCAGAAGTGTTTAATGCTAACTCATTTCTCAGGTTTGGCACTCTTTCATAGAAGGTACCCTTTCAAAGATATTAGAAAGAAACCTGATAGTAGGTCGTTTTCTACTTTTTATAGCTGTAAAAGAAATACAAATACAACTTTTTATTTTCTGATGTACTGTATTTTTTATGTACTGAAGTAGCTCCTGTTCCCTTCACTCTGGTGGCAGTGAAGGCACCAGAGAAGACACTCCGCCTGCAGCATTTTTTTTAAATGTGAAGTAACTGCTAGCTTGTAATCCCAGATTTACCAGCACTGATAAGGAGCAGCCTCTCGGGTATTAACTGCTATCTTCACATTTAACACAGTCAGTTTGTGCTTACTGAAGAAATGCCAGTGTCTTTTGACTCCCAGCAACTGATGTACATTTCTTTTACAGACTTAAATATTGCAGAAGTATAACTTTTATTCATAAATATCTGTGTTTCAGACAGGGAAACCCCCTGTGGAGAATCTGTTCTCAGACCTGTGTGATGGAAGACGCCTGCTGGAGCTGCTGGAGGGGCTGTCAGGACATGAGCTGGTATGAATACACACACACTCACTCACAGGAAAATACTTTAGAATCAGGAACGTATCCACCCACATAGAAACAAACATGTTGTCAGTAATTTAGTAGTCCAAAAGTAGGGGTTTGATAAGAGAGTCATGTCGATTCTGATTGTTTTTTGGCACATTGCTGAAAATAAACCTGGCCTGTATTGATGGTTCAAATGTGTCCCTCCTTATGCACAAACAACATTCACAGTAGCAGATTAAAACGACAGCATACAAAATTATCATATTGAAAAAAAGTGGGAAAGTACTCTCTACTCTGTATGTGTTTTAATTGTGTTTGTAAGCCCTCTTTACAAATAGTTGTTATTTTTTACACGCTGTACTGTACAATTGATTGACAACTGAAAGAACCAAAAAGAGACAAAGATTCCTCTGGGCAACCGTTGAATAAGAATATAAGAAATCAGCAGTCATTGCTAAACAAAAAACTTGAAGCTTAGAAACATGTTAGAAGATTTATGAGGGAAAATGCTTCTTGTTTCAGTGTCAACTACACAACAATGCCACTAACCTGCTTGAACTAATAGGTTATTATAGGGTTAGCACTATTAAATCTGTATCAGGGACTAAACAAACTCTGGACTGACACATCGCAGTTTAAACCTCTTTAATCTAACAAAGTGGACTGCAGAGGGCCTGAAGAAAAACCCAATATTAGGACCCATTTGTGCGTTAATAATGATTTAGGGTCACTGGACTTCCAACAGTATTTCTCCCTGTCAAGCAACACTGTAGGGAAATCGACTAAATGAAATTTTGAATCATTTCATTCTTTTTCCTTTTGGGCCAAAAATCAAATTTAAGAAATGCATTTAGTGTCTGAATTAACTGTTTTCATATCTGTTTAAATTTCCCCATGGCATCACCAGATACAGCACTTTCCAATTTTGCACAAATCAGTACTTTTTGAAACATTGAAAAGAAATCGGGCCAATATGTTGCCAAGACATGCTCACTATCTGTACTTGTATCCTGAGAGGTACTGCTGTAGTTTCCAGGAGATATGGAAAGATTGCAGAGTATGACACATTTTGTATCACACATTGATAACTCTGCTGATTATACAGTTTTAAATCCACGTCAGAGAACACTTCACCCAGTATGTTAATTGCACTCCTTATTAGTAACTAAATAAATTGTATTTTTCCACCTGACTGACTTGGTAGATTGTAACTGTTATTATGTTAAACTTCATATATATATATTGGGAGGGATGAAACCCTCTTTAATGGTCACACATGCAGAGCACACAGCACACAGAGTGAAATGTGTTCTCTGCTTTTAACCCATCCTAGTACCAGGAGTCTAGTACTAGGAGCTAGGGGTAGTAGGAGCATAATGCCTCCCATCCCACCACTCTGAACCAAAATCATCACTGGTACATTTATAAGCTGGTAAATAAATGCCAAATGTCAAGATTAACATACTAATCTGCTTCTTAGAAGGAAACATACACACAGCAGCGCGGCCCACTGTGGTAATCAAACTTCTACTCCCACCTTGTTTTCATTTCCCCCTCCAGCTCTCTTCACCTCCTGCGCCTTGTCTGTTTGCTGGAATCCCTCCCTCCTCTCTTCTTCAATCTCCTCTCATTCTCTTTATGCCTTCTTGTTATTCTCACTTATTTTGTCTCACTCTACCCCACTTCTATCTCAGGGAAAGATGTTATCATCCTTGTCCTTTGTTTGATACCATCTCCTATTGTAATGGCAAACAGACACATTAAAACACACTTTTATTGTAATGTGGTTGTTTGTAGCACTTGTGGATGCCCCTGAGCAAGGTCTCTTTATGCCTCAATAACCTCCACTGTCTGGTCTATGTGTGTGTGTGTGTGTGTGTGTGTGTGTGTGTGTGTGTGTGTGTGTGTGTGTGTGTGTGTGTGTGTGTGTGTGTGTGTGTTTTTGTGTGTAGGTGAGGTTGGAGAGAGGATTCTCGCGCGTTCATTCGCTCAACAATGTCAACCGTGCTCTGCAGATCTTGCAGAAGAACAATGTGAGTACATGTATTGACGTATACATATTTCTCTTCATCACCGTGTGAGTTCATTATAAAAGGCTATGGATTTGACTGCATTAATAAAGCCTAGATATAAATCAGTGGTTGGATTCAGACAGTGAAATGCTTAAATTGCAAGGCCTTTCATGTTTCTCTCTATCCTCTCCGACTTGCCACATACCTTTTACACCCGTCTCCTCCAGGATGCATTTATTTTCCTGTCTAAGAAAAACACCCCTTCTTACTCTCTTTCTTATTGGGTATTTTGCCCATACCACAACTAATCTTTTGCCATTATGTTGTCTTGCCTTGATTTCCCTTCTAATGTATAATTGTCTATCTTTATAAGAATATATTAATTAAGTGAAGATCGCTAAAATGTGTGTTACCACACCATGCATTTAAAAATAGCAAAGACAGATTGGTTATACATTTGTATTGCATAAGGTCATAGTCTAAGTCATGGGTCGGCAATAGGTGGCAATAGGTGGTACCTACACCTGAAGAATGCTTATTTTACTTTTATCCATGTTGAGAGTGAATGACACACAGAGGTGTAGGTACCACCTATTGCCACCTATTGCCGACCCATGACTTAGACTNGGGAGGGGAAAATAAATGCCAGTTTTCATTGGGTTATGGCCAAAACCGCCGTGCCACTCAAAGCCAGGGCCGCTTGTGTCATTTTTCCACTGTGTTTCCATGGTATATTTTGACAGGCCATTCCAGCTAAGCTTCGATAAATAGGGCTACGGCTTTTTTTCGTCTTCCATTTATTTAGTTTCCATCTAGAATGTGTTACACTAAAGAGGAACCCATGCTGATTTATGTGGCTGGCTTAAGACTTGTATAACCAACGGGTCAAGGCACTGAAATCTAAAGGTTTTTAATATTCATCCCATCTAACTGACTGTATGGTGCTGTATTGTTGCTGCAATTAACCTCTTGCCACATTGGTAGTTGCTGTTATGGTTTTGTGTCTTTATATCACTGTTGTACGGTTTGCCAACACGTTACAACGGTCAACACATATCCAATGGGAGGAACACGCTGCTGTTACAAAAACGATGCAAATATAAAAACGCAAATGTGCTAAAACACATGCAAATGAAGAATCATCCTCACCAACTTGATGAAACAAATGATGAAACAGATTAACTCTCCCAACAGTGACAGTTGGGTGGATTTTAAAATCCCTGAATGTCAGCAAGCGCTTTGTATTGTCAAGTTGGTAAAGATGTTTCTTCATTCACAAGTGTTTTGGAACAATTTATTTTTACTGTATATTTGCATCGTTTCTGAAGCTGCAGCACGTTTCTCTTAAAGGGGCCCTGTTCTGCACATTTTCAGGTGTCTCTACGGTGACATGTCTCCATGCTTTAATGTTCAAAAAGCTCTCTTTTCTCATACTGCCTGTGCTGCAGCACCTCTTTTCACCCTCTGTTTGAAACCAGAGCCCAGTCTGCTCTGATTGGTTAGCTGGCCGGCTCTGTTATGATTGGTCAACCGCTTAGCCTATCACGTACAATGTGTTGGAGCGCTTGCCAATAGAG